GTAGCAGCTGGTGGATTCAAACTGCTGACCTTTTGGTTAGCAGCCGAGCTCTTAATCACTGTGCCACCAGAGCTCCTCCAGAAGGGATAAAAACCCCAAAACCAAACCTGTTGCCATTGAGTTGACTCTGACTCATAGCAACCCTATAGGATAGAGTAGAACTGCACCATAGGGTTTCCAAGGAGCACCTGGTAGATTTGAACTGCTGACCTTTCGGTTAGCAGCCGTAGCTCTTAACCACTACGCACCATAACCCCCACAAAATAGAAATCAACAGACTGCCTGATGCTTTAGGAACATATGAAATGGGATTTATACTCTGTCTGAGTTTAGGAATAAATTAGTAAAGGGAGATAATTATTAATTGCAGGAAAAACAAAACTTGTGGAAGAAAGGAAAAATAATAATAATATAGTACCTGGTTCAGCTTGAATAACACACTGTCATAATAATGCAGAAAATGAACTTTGAGTTTCTGGTACAACATGTAAAGAGTTTAGGAGTTGTTACTCCCATCCTCACAACAAGAAGAAAACTGAAAAACTGAAAATCAGCTGCCACCATGAAAATGCGTTCCCCCAAAACCGTCACCCCCAAAACAGGAGAAACAGGCAAATACAGAGATCACAGCTCACCAGGAGCAGAAGCCACAGCTGGAGCCTGACAGGTATATTTAAAGGGTGATTGATTGACTAACTGCGAGAGACTAAGTGTGGACTAGCTGAGAGAGAAAAATCCTAGGTGCTCAGCTGTAGAGGGACTCAGATATGGCAGAGAAATAGCTTGTTCGAGGTCTGGTACATGAAATGTACAAGATGAGCTTAGAGCTTCAAAGGACGGTATCAAGAAAGTGTAAAGACAGCCCATAGAATGGCAGAAAATGTTTGCAAATCATATATCTGATAAGGGACTTGTATCCAAAATATATAAAGGACTCTTCAACAACTCAATAATAAAAAGACTATTAACCCGATTTAAAAATGGGCAAAAGATCTGAATAGGCATTTCTCCAAAGAAGCTATAAATGGTCCATAAGCATATGAAAAGATGCTCAACATCCTTAGCCATCAGGGAAATGCAAATCAAAACCACAATGAGATACCACTTAACACTCACTAAACCAAACCACACCTGTCCTATAGGGTCACTATAAGTCAGAATCGACTCAGTGGCAGTGGGTTTCGTTTTTGTTTTTTTTTTTGGTTTATATGACCCAGCAATTCCACGCCTAGGTATATATATACTCAAGAGCAATGAAAATGTATTTCCTCACAAAAACTTGTACATGAATGTTTATAGCGGCATTATTCATAAAAGCCAAAAAGTGGATACAATCCAAATGCCTATTTAATAAATAGATAAATAAAATGTGGTTTATACATACAACAGGATATTACTCAGCAATAAAAAGATATGACGTTCTGATACATACTACAACATGGATGACCCTTGAAAACATTATGCTAATTAAAAGAAGCCTGTCACAAAAGGCCACATAGTGTATGAGTCCATTTATATAAAATGTCCAGAATAGGCAAATATAAAGAGATAGAAAGCAAATTATTGGTTGTCCGGGAAGGGAGCAGAGCCCTGGTGGTGCAGTAAAGAGCTCAGCTGCTACCCAGAAGGTTGCTAGTTCAAATCCACCAGCTGCTCCTTGGAAACCCTATGGGGCAGATCTACTCTGTCCTATAGGGTTGCTACGAGTCGGAATCTACTCAACTCCATGGCAAGGGTTTGGTTTTGGTTTTGGGAAGGGAGTTGGGGGAAATGGAAAGTGACTGCTAATGGGAATGGGGTTTCTTTTTGGGGTGATGAAAATGTTCTAAAATTGATTTTGGTGATGGCTACATAACTCTGTGAATATACTAAAAACTACTGAATTTTACACTTTAAATGGGTGAATTGTATGGTATGTGAATCATATCTCAATAAAGCTGTTACATATTTAAAAATAAAAGATGAGCTGTGGCACAGTGGTTAAGAGATTGACTGCTAACCAAAAGGTCTGCAGTTTGAATCCACAACTGCACCTTGGAAACCCTATGGGGCAGTTCCACTCTGTCCTGTAGGGTTGCTATGCGTCAGAATCAACTTGATGGCAACGGGTTTGGTTTTTTTGGTTAAGAACATATTGTCATATAAGATAATGAGAAAACTGGCAGTCACTACTAGGCAATATCAAAAGGAGTCAGGACTGCTCAGACAAGGGATCAAAATAGAGGGTCCTGGATGGAGCTGGAGAAAAATGTAGAACAAAATTCTAACTCACAAAAAAAGAAAAAAAAAAGATCAGACTTACTGGTCTGACAGAGACTGGAAAAATCCCTGAGAGTATGGCCTCTGGACATGCTTATAGTTCAATAATGAAGTCACTGCTGAGGTTCACCCTTAAACCAAAGATTAGACAGGCCCATAAAACAAAATGAGACTAAATGGGCACACTAGCCCAGGGGCAAGGATGAGGCAGGAGGGGACAGGAAAGCTGATAATAGGGAACCCAATGTGGAGAAGGGGAACATATGGACATGTGGGGTTGGCAACCAATGTCACAAAACAGTATGTGTATTAATTGTTTAGTGAGAAACTAGTTTTCTCTGTAAACCTTCACCTAAAGTATAATAAAAAAAATTAAAGAAAGAAAGAAAGAAAACCCTATGGAGCGCAACAGTCTGATCCCATTGTGCATGGAGTTGCCATGAGTGGGGGTGACGTGACAGCAGCTACCAACAATTACAACTGTTGTGGGCCAATTGTTAGAAATTGGGAGAATTTATTTATTTTTTTTTACAAAGAGTCCAGGTTTCTAGCTTTTCTTGGAAAAAAAAAAAAAAAACAACTGCTGAAAAAAGGAGTCAGGTGCTAACTGACTCCATAGGGTTTTCAGTGGCTGACTTTTAGGAATTAGATCACCAGGCCTTTCTTCTGAGGTGCCTCTGGGTAGATTTGAACCTCCCATATTTTGGTTAGCAGCCTAACTCATGAACTGCATCATCCAGGGACTCCCAATTTAAAAAAGCTCCCCTAAATGGGACAACTGGGGCTTCAGAAAGGATAGTAATTATAGTTAATTGAAACTTATCAAATTTGTTTAAATTCATGACTATATAATGGTATTTTAAACAGAAAAAACTAACTGGTCACCTTCAGAGGATGACAGAGAACCAATTCCTTACCTTGAAAACTGACGGAGGGAAAGCATCAAGTGTTTCTTCTGCCTTTCCTATATGAACTGTATCACTGGAAAACCAAATAATAGATAAGGAGAAGTGTCCCTTTATAAAAGTATTTCAACTAATAAGTGAAAAGGGATTAATAGAAATAGAATATCACCACTTTGCACCTCTCAGTGAATTAACAGACCTGGGCATTGTGCATCAACAGCTGCTAACATCACAAAAAGAATGATAACCAGACACTCTGTGCTTCCTCATCAAAGAACACAGTGCCACCTATGGTCTTCCTAAAAGGATCAAGCACGGGTCTGATCAGGCCTCCGGATCCAGCTGCCAGTTTTCAGGAAATACAGGGGACACAGCAATCTGATAAACTCCATGAGTATGCAGTCAGCAAAACCCAGGCTAGGGGAAATGACAGAAGCCGCAGAAAACTACAGATCTATTGTGAGGAAAAGAAAGGGAGGGAAGGAGAGCTTATAGATGATAAGTGACTTAAAAGACATGACAAAATATTTTTCATGAACAAGTTAGACTGTAGTGGCTAGGGATACACACTCGGGTAATAAAACTGTAAAGAAGCACAGGAAGCCATTATTATAAAAGTCAGGGTAGTGGTTACTGTTGGGATTGGGATTAGGATGAGGCACATGGAAGGGCTTTCCACTAGTGGCAAAGTTCTGTTTCTTTAATTGGGTGGTTGTTACAAGGGTGTTCACCTTTGTAATAACTCATTAAACTGTACATGTGTTTTATGTATCTTTCTGTATCTGTGTTTTATCTTGCAATGAGAAGGTGAAAAAGGTAAAATATCTGACTATGTAACAGTCTACATTTCCTTTTTCTTTAAAAGAAATTTTTCTGACTTATATGTCATAGACTTTTTCGATTAGTGCCCAGTCTATGACTTTCAATAGAAAATCCTTCTTCAGGAGTATCGATCTTTATTTTTATTATTATTATTTTTTATTTCTACAGGAGGAATTGAAAATAACTAACCTTAGTTTCTCTTTACTATTGGATGAAGAATTAAGCTCCAGAGAATTATGCCTGAACAACTACCTTGCAAGGAAGCAGGAGGAGAAAGTCAGTATAATACCTAATATCTGAATACAACCATTTTCTGACTGCTGGGATCCTTGTTTATCAAGAGCTCATTCACCGTAGACCCTTCCTTTCTTCCACCATTCCTACTAAAACCTGCTTATCCTTTGGGGTTTTGTTCCAGGGACTGGGTGAAAGTATCCATTCCAGTCTGTTAACCAGGTTATATGCTTCTGCATCCAATTTAAAAGAACCAAGTAACTTATGATGAGAATTTGGCAACGGATACTGGTGATGGTTGCACAACATATTAATATAATTAATGTTATTAAATTTTCATGTGAAAAATGTTGAAGTGGCAAATGTGTTATATATATTTCTACAACAATAAGAAAAGGGGCATGTAACTTTCCTATGACGTGTTATTTATAAAAGGTTGAAATCGCCAGCTTTTAACCCTTGACTGACTGTGAGAGCTTGGACAAGGTATATAACCTTTTGAGCTGTTTCCAAGTTCTCCTTTAGGGAATATTGTCCTCTCTGGACCATTTGGCACCCTAAGTTTTACTAAACATGTAAGCAAGGGCAGTGAATGGGTTAGCTTATAGAATAAAAAATATTGCCATATTCAGAAAAATTCTATCTTAATATAAGCGTAAAAGATATGATTCATTAAAGAGACAATGAATGAAAAATGTTTGTCACATAATATACTTCAACAGATATCAGCTTTTATTAGTAGTATTAATAAAGGACATTTGTGAATGCATGAATTAATGTATCGTGTATGACATATGCACTTAATATTTGCTAAGAGTCTGTTAGAAGCCCTGAGGGCACAATGGTTAAGTGTCCTACTCTGTCCTATAGGGTCACTATGAGTCTGAATCAACTCAAAGACAACGGATTTGGTTTGGTTTTAAGAGTCTGTTAAACAGTATATGTAAAGCATCTTCTAAATACAACCCTACTCATAACTACCCTGCAAAGGGTTAGATTTCTTTCACAGATGAAGAGACCATCTTACAGAGAACGGATGTGCCCAAATTACCAACTTGATGTAACAGTGCAGGAATTAGAACTGGAAAGAAACAAAGACCATCCAAATGAGAATAAACAGGGGTCATTTAGTCAGAACTTGCTATGTACCAAAGGGGTCGGCCACTATCATTTGCGTTCGGCAGAGACTCAAAGGCAGATGAGGTAGTAGGAAACTTTATAGTAAAAAGAAGGCGGGAAGGCTTCAGGCACACCCTGGTTGGTGGTTGTTGGGATGGAGAAGCCAGAGGCAGGTTGATTAGGCAGTGCATCCTATGTGATTGGTTTGGAGTGCATATTTGGCTTTATCTGGTTGATAATGAGTTGGAAGCAGGGGAAAAAATTAAGGAAGCTGGCCATTATTGACCAAGTCCTGACTAGGGCCAGTTGCTTCAGAGGTTGTGGTTTGGCTTCCCATACTGGTAGCTGCAGAGGTTGTGGGTCAGAGTTCTGCTGTCATATATGTTCTGGCCATTGTCTGTTCCACCACTTGTCTGTCAATTTGTCATACTGTGGTAGCTTGTGTGTTGCTGTGGTGCTAGAAGCTATGCCATCGGTATTTCAAATAACAGCAGGGTCACCCATGGTGGACAGGATTCAGTGGAGCTTCCAGACTAAGAAATACTAAGAAGAAGAACCTGGCAGTATACTTCTGAAAAAAATTGGCCAGTGAAAACCTTATGAATAGCAGCAGAACATTGTTTTATATAGTGCCAGAAGATGAGTCCCTCAGGTTGGAAAGCACTCAAAATACGACTGGGAAAGAGCTATCTCCTCAAAGTAGAGTCAACCTTAATGACATGGATAGAGTCAAGCTTTTGGGACCTTCATTTGCACGTGTGACATGACTCAGATGAGAAGAAACAGCTGTAAACATCCATTAATAATCAGAAAATGGAATGTATGAAGTATGAATCTGGAAAATTGGAAGTCATCAGAAATGAAATGGAACGCATAAAGATCATATCCTAGGCATTAGTGAGCTGAAATGAACTGATATTGGCCATTTTGAATCAGACAGTCATATGGTCTACTATGCCAGGACTGACATATTGAAGAGGAATGGCATAGCATTCATTATCAAAAGAATATTTCAAGATGTATATCCTGAAGTAAAACGCTGTCAGTGATAGGATAATATCCATATGCCTATAAGGAAGACCAGTTAATATGACTATTATTCAAATTTACATACCAACCACTAAGGCCAAAGATGAAGAAATTGAAGATTTTTACCAACTTCTGCAGTCTGAAATTGATCAAACATGCAATCAAGATGCATTGATAATTACCGGTGATTGAAATGCAAAAGTTGGAAACAAAGAAGAAGGAATAGTAGTTGGAAAATATGGCCTTGGTGATAGAAATGACACCAGAGATGGCATGATAGAATTTTGCAATACCAACAACTTCTTCATTGCAAATACCTTTTTCAACAACATAAATGGCGGCTATGCACATGGACCTCGCCAGATGGAATACAGAGGAATCAAATCAACTACATCTGTGGAAAGAGAAGATAGAGAAGCTCAATGTCATCAGTCAGAACAAGACCGGGGCCGACTGCAGAACACACTATCAATTGTTCATATGCAAGTTTGAGTTGAAACTGAAGAAAATTACAGCAAGTCCATGATAGCCAAAATACAACCTTGAGTATATCTCACCTGAATTTAGAGACCATCTCAAGAACAGATTCGATGCATTGAATACTAACAACCGAAGACCAGACAAGTTGTGGAAGGACATCAAGAACATCATACATGAGGAAAGCAAAAAGTCGTTAAAAAGACCAGAAGGAAAGAAGAGACCAAAATGAATGTCAGAAGAGACTCTGAAACTTGCTTTTTAACATAGAGTAGCTAAAGTGAATGGAAGAAATGATGAAGTAAAAGAACTGAACAGAAGATTTCATACGGCAGCTCAACAAGACAAAGTAAAGTATTATAATGAAATGTGCAAAGACCTGGAGTTAGAAAACCAAAGCGGAAGAACATGCTTGGCATTTCTCAAGCTGAAAGAACTGAAGAAAAAATTCAAGCCTCGAGTTGCAATATTGAAGGATTCTATGGGGAAAGTATTGAATGACGCAGGAAACATCAAGAGAAGATGGAAGGAATACACAAAGTCATTGTCCCAAAAAGAATGGGTCAGCGTTCGACCATTTCAGGAGATAACATATGATCAAGAACTGATGGTGCTAAAGGAAGAAGTCCAAGCTGCACTGAAGGCATTGACAAAAAACAAGGCTTCAGGAAATGATGGAATACCAATTAAAATGGTCTATGCCAAGAAATTTGGAAGACAGCTACCTGGCCAATGGACTGGAAGAGATCCATGTTTGTACCCATTCTAAAGAAAAGTGATCCAACAGAATAGGGAAATTATTGAACAATATCATTAATATCACACACAAGTAAAATTTTGCCAAAGATCATTTAAAAGTGGTTGCAGCAGTACATCGACAGGGAACGGCCAGAAATTCAAACTGTATTCAGAAGAGGAAGTAGAGTGAGGGATATCATTGCTGATTTCAGATGGATCTTGTCTGAAAGCAGAGAATACTAGAAAGAGGTTTACCTGTGTTTTATTGGCTTACCCAAAGGCATTTGACTGTGTGGATCGTAACAAATTCTGGATAACATTGCGAAGAATGGGAATTCCAGAACACTTAATTGTGCTCATAAAGAGACTGTACATAGAAAAAGAGGCAGTTGTTTGAACAGAACGAGGGAATAGTTTGTGGTTTCAAGTCAGGAAAGGTGTGCGTCAGGGTTGTATCCTTTCACCATACCTATTCAATCTCTATGCTGAGCAAATAATCCGAGAAGCTGGACAATATAAAGAAGGCAGCATCAGGATTGGAGGAAGACTCATTAACAACCTGTGATACACAGATGACACAACTTTGCTTGCTGAAAATGAAGAGGACTTAAAGCACTAAAGGATCAAAAACTACAACCTTCAGTATGGATTATACCTCAACATAAAGAAAACAAAAATCCTCACGACTGGACCAATAAGCAGCATCCTGCTAGATGGAAAAATATTGAAATTGGCAAGAATTTCATTTTACTGGGATCCACAATCAATGCCCATGGAATCAGTGGTCAGGAGATCAAATGACATATTGCATTGGGCAAATCTGCTGCAAAAGACCTCTTTAAAGTGTTGAAAAGCAAAGATATCACTTTGAGGACTAAGGTGCACCTGACCCAAGCCACGGTGTTTTCAGTCCCCTCATGCACGTGAAAGCTGGGCAATGAATAAGGACGACTGAAGAAGAATTGATGCCTTTGAAATATGGTGTTGGTGAAGAATATTGAATATACCATGGACTGCCAGAAGAACAGACAAATTTGTCTTGGAAGAAGTACAGCCAGAGTGCTCCTTGGAAGAGAGGATGGTGAGACTTCATCTCATGTACTTTTGTCAGGGATTGAATTGTGTCCCCCAGAAATATCTGTCAACTTAGCTAGGTCGTGATTCCCAGTATTGTATGATTGTCTACCATTTTGTCATCTGATGTGATTTCCCAGTGTGTTGTAAATCCTGTCACTATGATGTTAATGAGATGCATTAGCCACAGTTATATTGATGAGATCTACAAGATTAGATAGTGTCTTAAGCCAATCTCTTTTGAGATATAAAAGAGAGAAGAGAGCAGAGAGATGTGGGGACCTCACACCACCAAGAAAGAAGCACTGGGAACATAGCTCGTCCTTTGGACCCAGAGTTCCTGCGCTGAGAAGCTCCTGGACGAGGGGAAGATTGATGACAAGGACCTTCCTCCACAGCCAACAGAGAAAGCCTTCCCCTGGAGCTGATGCCCTGAAATTAGATTTGTAGCCTACTGGACTGAGAGAGAATAAATTTCTTTGTTAAAGCCATCCACTTGTGGTATTTCTGTTATAGCAGCACTAGATGACTAAGACAACTTTGGACATGTTATCAGGAGGGACCAGTCACCTTGAGAAGGACTTTACACTTGATAAAGTAGAGGATCAGTGAAAAAGAGGAACACCCTTGTTATGGATTGAATTGTGTCCCCCAAAAATGTGTGTCAACTTGGCTAGGCCATGATTCCCAATGTTGTATGATTGTCCACCATTTTGTCATCTGATGTGATTTTCCTATGTGTTGTAAATCCTACTTCTATGATGTTAATGAGGCAGAATTAGAGGCAGTTATATTAATGAGGCAGGACTATATCTACAAGATTAGGTTGTGTCTAACGTCAGTCTCTTTTGACATATTAAAGAGAGAAGCGAGCAGAAAGACATGGGTGACCTCATACCACCAAGAAAGAAGCACCGGGAACATAGCACATTCTTTGAACCCGGGGTCCCTGTGCTGAGAAGCTCCTCAACCAGGGAAAGATTGATGACAAGGACCTTCCCCCACAGCCAGCAGAGAGAAAGCCTTCCCCTGGAGCTGGTGCCCTGAATTCAGACTTCTAACCTCCTAGACTGTGAGAGAATAAATTTCTCTTTGTTAAAGCCATCCACTTGTGGTATTTCTGTTATAGCAGCACTAGATAACTAAGACACCCCACAACGAGATAGATTGACACAGTGACTGCAACAGTGGGCTCAAGCATAACAATGATTGTGAGGATGGCGCAGGACCTGGCATTGTTTCTTTCTGTTGTACGTATTATGAGTCAGAATTGACTCGGTGGCACCTAAACAATTGTCTGTTTGTATAGTGCATTCAGTCTATGAGTATATACAACCCAGGTTCATGTGACTCCCAAGCCTGTGTGTTTTCATCATGTCGCAGTGCCCTGCCAAGGATGTGATATGCTCCAAAGACACACAGTCACATACAGAGCTGTTTTACCCAGAAGCAAGTGATTGGATGTTTGTTCTTTCTTCTGAAAGGAGTTGACTGGTTTACTTTCTTCTATAAATGTTACCTGTAGTGGATACTTCACTGACATTTATCTTGTGCTAGGAAATTCCTTGTTCTTTTTGGCATCTCCCATGTTTTTGTTTATCCTAAAAAGTCTCTAGTTTCAATCAGCTCTTCCTGATGTAATTGTAGATCCAGACTTCAGAGGCTAGCCGGAATGCTAAAGAAGACCTCGATATGTACAAGGAGCACTATGACAACTTACTGGCGGAAGACAAAGTGAGTCATTGTCTTACCCATTCACCAGTGCAACAGAGTTCTTGCTGGCTAGATTCAGGGAACATTAAAAGATATCTAACTTACTTTCCTCATAGATTTATTTATCTCCTATAATTCTCAGTTATGGGTAAATTTAATTCCATGCCGTTGTATGTTTCTGAAAATCAGTGTATAAAAAGAATTTTTGTAAACTTCTCTAGTTTAAGGTTTCTCTTATTCAAAAAAGAGGGATATTATCTAAACTTCAGTGTGTTTCAAACTTCAGGTTGTGGATCCCACTCGTGGGTCATGAAATCAATTTAGTAGACTATGACTAGCATTTTAATAATAGAATAAAATCGGATAGAGTAGAATAGAGTGGAAAAGAATAGATTAGAGTGCCTTGCGTATTTTGTGGGTAAATATTATTTTGTGAAACTTTTGTTTCAGTTTGTATGTTCTGGGTCATAATGTAAAATGTAATTTTTTTGTGAATCTTTGTAAAAGTTTGAGAAACACTTTTCTGGATAATACCTAAAGCCTCTTCAGCTAAACAATTCTATGAAATGATATTTTTAATGCACTGAGGTACTTCCTATTCAAAAAAAACTTTTGAGGAATTTTTGTACAGTGAGTAGGTCACCCCCTAACAAGTCTACCTTCTAAATCAAGTCTTCATGGATTTTTAAATCAAAGTGAGGGCAGTCTTATATTTTGAAGAGTATGATCAACACGTAAAAGGTTTTAGAACGAAGTTGCAATTGTGTCAATGATGTGTTTGTCCTTTAGGTTCTGGATCGCAGCTTTAAAAAGGAGTTTTCTGAAATTCCTGTGCATCAAGTTGATTTACTCTACAAACTTTTTAAACGCCGGCCAAAGTTTGTTTCTTCTTTCCTATCATGTTTCTGAGAAAAAGTTGGTAAATGAAGAGGGGTATAGTTAGATTTCAGATTTTTCCTCCTAATTACTTGGAAATATTCATTATAACATCCTTTGGGTGACAATGTTCAAGCGTCTTGATCATAATTCAGTATTTTTTGAGATTATACCTTTATCTTAAGGTATAGGTATAGGCAGTGAAAAACAATTTATTTTCATTATTTAAAAGTAGTTAAGTATCTTTGTAAGCATAGTGCTAGTATAAATTCAATTTTATACATGAAAGCAGTTCCTCTTAAGTCATACATGGCATACAGATTTATGAACTGTTTTCCCAAGATGTATTCCAGTAAGTAAGAGTCCCTTGTGATATGAATTGGAATTACACATAAAAGGCTTCCAGGATAAAATAAGTTTGAGGAAACTCTGAATTCAAAAAAAAAAAAAAGTTGAACAAGTTTCTTTACTGCAGAACTTGTTATTGGCCTTTGATCTCCAAGTATAAGAAATAGAGTAAGCGGCGTTATTTGACCACATATCCCTTTTCCTAAGACATCTCACATGCTTATGTTTAAGAAAAGTTTGGAAAATGTCAGAATGATAGAAAATAACCAATATCCAAAGATTTCTAATATATCTGATTTTTATATGGAGAGTAGCATTAGAATTACATTTCACTGATTTGCAACATTATAAATTCAAATTTTCATAATTTTCAATCACACATAATCTATAAATCACGGGGTTTATCTGTTACAAAGATATAGGTTCATTCGTGTCTGAGATACAAACTAATTTTCTCACCTTTGACAGGTTACAGGCAACCTAGCAAATTTAACCCAGAACATGCTCTGTGCCTTGGTTTCTCTTATCTTTAAAGGAGTGAGTTATAATAAACCCAAGTACATATGTTTTCCTTGTGAAGAAAGAAGCAAGGCCATGTAAGACTATAATGGGAGGAGTTACATCCTAACTCTATCACCTGTCATACCTGTGGCCGTGGGCCAATTACTTGTCTCAGAGCCTCACTTTCCTCGTCTAGAGACGGGTGACAATACTAATCTCACAGTGTATCATAAAGTATCTTGACAGTGTCTAACACAAATCTTTGTACCCCTCTTCCCTTCCCACCAACAGTCCAGGAAAACAAAGCAGATCTATTAAAGCAGGGAGGGAAAGCACTTCCTCAGTTTCATATGCATCTGAACATATTATAGGCACTACTTGCCTGCAAAAAGTATATCAGCAGAGAAATGTGCAAGACAAAATCAGAGAACACCCACACTTCTCTTGGGCATTCAATTGCCTGCTTAAAATACACAGAAGAAAAATGTTTCCTAGTTGAGCTAAAGCTGCCAGTGCTGACAATTAGGGAAGTCTCTAGTCCACCCAAGGCCATATCTGGGGATCTAGAGAGTATCAAAGGACAAAATGGGTGCTTTTCTCTTTGGAATAATCCAGCTACCAGCACCCAAGTGCCAAAGGAAAGTGTCATGCAACGTGTCATACCTATGCTAAGAGTCTTATATGACATTGATGTTTTTTGTGAGAATGTGAAAGGTTGATGACTTTTGTTGATAATACCAGGATTCACAAACAGAAAACGCCCCAAGATACGGCCAATATTGTCCCTTTTGGAGAGCGACCAGGATCTGACAAATTGAACAGGGATGCCTTTGCACAGTTAATGAAAGCCATGGATGAACTGGACAATATTAATAACATGCCAGAAGGCTTGGATGTCTCGGTCTGGGAACATTTCTGCGTGACCAGACGAGTGAAAGTGGAAAATGAACAGAAAGTATACAATAACATTTCCATTTTATTTTATTTACTGTAATAATATCAAATATATAGTCTAAGCTGCCCATTGTTTCCAGAAAAGCTAATTATATAGGTTTTTCTGCAATGGTAGTAGTTGGTAATATTAACAATAATAATGAAATAAAATGTCAACCTTTGTGCCATTGAGGGCTAAGTATAAGCCTGTCTGTGCTTGTAGAACTATGCTGTCCAATATGGTAGCCACTAGCCACATATGGTCATTGTGCACTTGAAATAAATAAATAAATGTGGCCAGTTTTAATTGAGATGTACTGTAGATGGAAAATACACACCAAATTTAGAAGACTTAGTATGAAAAAGGTATTTAAAATGTCCCAAGTTTTTTATATTGATTACACGGTGAAATGATAGTATTTTGGACATATTGTGTTAAATAAAATATATTAGTAAAATTAATTTCAACCTGTTTCATTTTACTTTTTATAATGTGGCTACTACAAAATTTAGAATTATATGCATGCCTCACATTTGTGGCTTACATTTTTATTTCTCTTGGACAGCATTGTGGTAGACACTGCCTTCCCCTTCTCTCTGCCCTCTTCTTGAGTGCTACTCATCTTTTTGCATAGATTAGAATTATATTTAGCTCACCAGAACTAAATTTATAGTTTAGCTAAAATGTTAAAAAAAAGTACCAAAGTACAAAAATTTGTGTGTTTCATTGGCAAGAGAATCCTTTCTTTTGTTGCTTCTTGATTTCCCTGTTTCCCCCAACCACACACACGCAAAAAAAAAAAAAAAAAAAAATCACTGAATTCTGTGCCATATGCATCTGGCTGGCATGTATTTGTTAAAGTATCTCAGATTATATCATTTTACCTAAGGTAATGAGAACAAATTTTAAAAGAAGATGTAAGCAAAATTTTAGTTGCTTACGTATTTGATTTTCATCAAGAAGCAAATTTGATGCTCTTCAAATTATTCATGGAATGTGCCATGTAAATTTTAGATACTTTGTATTACCTAATGGCAGGGATTTAAACTTTTATTATCCACACAAATATGGACTTTGTAAGGTTTTGTAACAAAATAAGTCAAAAGCTGTATGTTTTCTGAAATTACTGAAAGCTAGTTTTTATTTCTAAAGCTCCATGTGTTCTGAAATGTTTGTGGTTTGGTTTCTTCAGGTAAAGCAGAAAGCAGCTGGCTTAATGGAAATGGTGGCTTTTCTTCGGAAGAGAATTGAGGAAGATGAAAAGGTGCAACAGAGCATTGAAAAAGTGTTCCGTGAACTCATCCTGTAATTTGAATCTTTCATTCATGTTCTTTTAGTCAAAGTTTAAGCTAGAACTAAGTTAGTTTTGTGTTGTAAATGGGGAAGAATGCCTAAGAGACCCATCAACTGACAGACAGTTGTTTACAAGCTGGCCCAAACTTAATCATCTCAGTCCCAGTGTTGTGCTTTAAAAATTCTGTTTAAAAAAAAAAAATAGATATTTTACATGTTACATAAGACATTTCAGAATGGAACATTCTCACATGTTCCGTTGTTCTTATTACAAATAGACAAGCTTTGGAAAAATGGTAGTATTTTTTTTTCCCATCTCTTCCTCCCACATAAAAACACAAAGGACCAGTTTCTGCCAGTAAGTAGTTTAGACTCAAGCCACACAAGCTAAATTTGTGTAAAATTAAGCAGATGTCCAAGAAATTTCCACGCAAACACCAACCCAACTAATACTTTTTTGTTTAGGGGAGCTTGCTTTTACTGGATGCTGGTTTAAAGTCCTTGCTTCACATTTTGGCCATAGTTACAACCATGTTGGTAAAAATACTGCTCTGATGTTCCCAAATTCATCATTATACATCATTTTTAGATCTAGGCTGTAGGGAGGAATATGAATTACCTAGAAATAGATTTTTTTAAGTAACATGCAGATTAAACATGTTAACATAATGTCAGAAGTCAATAAATAATGTCAGAACTGTAATAGATTTGTTATTTAGTAACATCTCTATTTTCTTCACTTTTAATTTATTTTTATTATAATCAAAATTATATTAATCTTCTCTTAATCCTAAAGTACAATTTTATGAATGTATTTCTGTCCATACCATTCTTTAAGCGGCCCATGTCAGTAGGAAGAAATATTGTAGATACCTCTAGGAAAACTCATCATTAGGAAGATGTGTCTCCAGAATATTTTCCTTAAACTGGTTTGAATTTAATAGTCTCAGATAGTAGGCAAAATTTGAAATATATATATATTAATAACTACTTGCTTTGAAGTCTATTTCATTTTTTAGATTACAGGAAGAGAAAGTAGAATTCCAGTTGAATTTGACTATCCAAATTCTCCTTAAACAAGGACAAGTAGAACTGGAGAATTTTCAGTTAATTCTGGAATATTCTGATGCAATTCTCATCAACAAGAGCATAATTGAAGACTTGAATTCTGTGGTTCGGGTAATTATGCATTTTCAGAGAGAAAAAATAACATATTACCTGCTATATCAAATATTTTCTGTTATTCTCCCCTTTCCATGATAAATCATTTTAATTCAGTTAAATCAGTGATTTCCAACTCTGGCTGCACATTGGAAGCACCTAAAGAACTTTAAAAGAAGGCCCAGGCCTGATTACTTTTTAATAAGGTGCAGGAAGTGCAGGACCATAGGACCAGGGAGTTAAATCTTCTTTCTAATATGCCATAGTTTTGTTAGCCTCAATCTACTCACCTAATGATATAAGCTTATATTATTGATTTTAGAGTTTGCTTCTTTTCTGACATAAACATTTAATATTATAAATTTCCCTCAGCACTATTAGCTGCATTCTGCAAATTTTGATATTTTGTGTTTTCATTTTCTCTCAATTCAAAATATTTTTTTTAAATATTCCTGTGACTTCTTGTTTGACTCATGGGTTATTTGGAAGTGTGTTATTTAATTTCCAAATATCTGGAGATTTTTTGTGCTATTTGGGGATGATGTGTTATTGTCATACATTTTACTTTTACAAATACAGTAGACCCGCAGTACATTGTTGTAATTTTGCCTTAGGCTGTCAATTATCTTTTAAAGTGATAAGAAATAAATGGAAAAAAGGATTCTCTATTTACCTTCATTTTCACAATTTCAAGAAATCTTTATTTCTTTGTATAGATCCAAGTTTCTGACTAGTATCATAGATTTTCTATTCTAAGAACTTTGTTTAAAATAACTGAAGTGCAGGTCTGCTGGTGATGAATTTTCTAGGTTTGTTTTGTTCTGTTTTTTGGGTCTGAAAAGTATTCAACTCATCTTTATTTTTGAAAGATATTTTGCTAGAGTGTTTATCTAAATTGGCACCTCCCTCCCTCTCCCCTTCCTTCTTTCCTCCATCCCTCCTTCCCTCCCTCTCTTTCTTTCATCTTCTCGCTTTATAGATGTTCATTGCTTCTGCCTTACTTAGTTTCTGACAAGAAGTCTGCTTTCATTTTTATCTTTGTTCTTCTGAATGTAACATATATGCGTTTGAGATTTTCTGTTTGTCTTTGATTCTCAGCAGTTTGAACATGTGTCTAGGTGTGTGTGTGTGTGTGTGTGTGTGTGTGTGTGTGTGTGTGTGTGTGTATCTCCTGCTGGGAGTTATCAAAGCTTCTCTAATCTGTGGTTTGATGTTTTTCCTTATTTTTGGAAAATTCTTGGTGATTATTTCTTTGAATATTTCTTGTGCCCTGTTCTCACTGTCTTCTCCTTCTGGGATTCCATTACACATATGTTAGATTGTTTGATACTGTTCCACATCTCTTGGATGTTCTATTCTCTTTCTTTTCTTTTTTTTTAACTCTATTTTCTCTGTATATTTCAGTTTGGGTAATTGCTATTGATCTATATGCAAGTTCATTGATTCTTTCTTTAACTGTGTCTAGTGTAATGATGAGCCCATCAGAGGCATGCTTTATCTCTGGTACCATTATGTTGCTACCTTGCTGTAATTGCTTTTTAGTTTTGGAGTTTTTTGAGATTGTGTTTGGGATTTTCTACATAGACAATCATGTCTTCTGTGAACAAAGACAGTTTTATTTCTTCCTTCTCAATCTATGTACCTTTTATTTCCTTTTCTTGTCTTATTAGCTAGAACTTTCAGTATGATGTTGACTAGGAGTGGTCAGGGGGACATCCTGATCTTGTTCCCAATCCCAAACTAGAAGGAAAGCATCTTGTATGTACAACATATGCCATTATCTACGATGTTAGCAGTGGGTTTTTTGTAGATGTTCTTTATCAAGTTCAGGAAGTTCTCTATTCTCAGTTTGCTGGATTTTTATCATAACTAAGTGTTGGATTTTGTCAAATGCTTTTTTCTGCATCTATCAATATGATCATGTGATTTTCCTTTTTTAGCCTGTTGATGTGATGGATTACATTGATTTATTTTTGAATGTTGAAGCAGCCTTGCATACCTGGAATAAATTCCACTTGGTCATGGTATATAATTCTTTTCATACATTGTTAGAATTGATTTCTGGATATTTTTTTGAGAATTTTTGCATCTATGTTCATGAGAAACATTGCTCTATAATTTTACTTTCTTGTAATTTCTTTGGTTTTAGTATTAGGGTAATGCTGGCCTCATCAAATGAGTTAGGAAATGTTCCTTCTACTTCTGTTCTCTGGAAGAGATTGCAAAGAATTTGTATAATTTCTTCCTTAAATATTTGGTATAATTCACCAGTGAAACCATCTGGGCCTGGTGTGTTCTGTTTTGAAAGTTTATTAATTATTGATCCAATTTTTTAAATATATGTCTCAGATTATTTATTTCTTCTTGTGTGAGTTTTGGTAGATTGTGTCTTTCAAGGAATTGGTCCATTTGATTTAAGTTATCACATTTTGGGGCATAGAGTTGTTCACAATATTTCTTTATTATCCTTTTAATGTTCATGGGATCCAGTGAAGTCACTAGGTTAGGTGTTAACCAGTGCAGTAACTCATGGTGTCACCCCTCATGCTAATTACCACGATACTGTAGATAAAACACCAGAAAATTTGACAAAATCAGCGACTATAAAAACACCAGAAGTGACTAAAACAAGTGTGTGCTTGTAGCATGTGCAGACAAAACCAGTTGATTCGAAGTGCCATTGTAATTGAGCAATAATGACAGCTCTGACCAGAGCACATTAGAAGGTTTAAAAAGGAAATTAGCATATGGCTTTAGCTTTGCAGGTATATTGATACATGTAAGCTGCACTTATGAAAAATATTTTTGTTGTTATAACTAACTACAGGGAGGGATAATTTTATTAAAAAATAATACATTTCTGCTGAAACACTGCACAAAAATTTTATAAACAGTCATTTTGGTGTCTCCTCCTCTGACAGTGTCACCCAGTATAGTCCATGCCCTCTGCCACCCCCTAATAACACCACTGATAGGATCAATAGAACTGGCTGCTCTTTCATTTCTGATATTAGTAATTTGTGTCTTGTCTCTTTTTTTCTTGGTTAGACTAGCTAGAAGGTTATTGGTTTTATTGATCTTTTCAAAGAACCAGCTTTGATTTCCTTGACTTTCTGTATTGTTTTCCTGTTTTCAATTTCGTTGATTTCTGCTCTGATTTTTATTATTTCTTTTCTTCTGCTTACTTTGGATTTAGTTTGCTCTTTTTTTTCCCTCAACTTTCCTTAAGTGGAACCTTAGACTATTAGATTATTGATTTTAAATCTTTCCTCTAAGCACTGCTTTCACTGCATTCAATAAATTTTGATAAGTTGTACTTTTATTTTCATTTAATTCAAAATATTTTTTATTTCTCTTGAGACTTCTTTGACCTATTTGTTATTTAAAAGTGCGTAGTTTACTCTCCAAATATCTTGGATAGATTTTCCAACTATCTTTCTGTTATTGATTTCTAGTTTAATTTTCTTGTGGTCTGAGAACATACTTCGTATGACTTCTATTCTTTTAAGTATGGTTAAAGTGTGTTTTATGGCCCAGAATGTGGTCTATCTTGGAGAATGTTTCATGTGAGCTTGAGAAAAATGTGTATTGAACTTGCACTTCCATAATACTTTTTATTCAATTTTATCAAAAAACTTTAAGAACATTAAGTATGCATTTCTCATTAAGAAAGAAATCATGACTTTCTCAGAATTTAGCCCATAATTAAATGTGCCCAGGTTCTCAGCTTTGGCTGGTGACATAGAATGAAGAGTTTTGACCTTTCTTAAATTTCAGATGCCTATAAAACATCCCGGTAAATGTTAATTACCCAGAGATAAAGATTTAGGATTGATCTACATATGGATAATTACATATGGGTACATATATATATAATTAAAGCCATGAGATTGTTTGAGATTATTTAGGAAGCAGGTAGACAGAAGAAAAGGGTGTTCAGGCCAGTGCCAAAGTCCAACACTGAAAGACCTAGCAGAGAAGGAGCCACCTAACTGAGAAGGAGTTGCTAATGAAATAAGAGGAAAACTAGGAGACTATGGTCTCCTAGAAGTTCAGAATGATAAACTGTTCTAAGATGGAGGGACTTGTCTATTATGTCAGTCACTTGACCAGGGCAGTCTCAGTAGAGTATCGGGGCAGGAGCTCAACTGGTGATAATTGATGAAATTTGAAGTAAGGGAAGTAGTGACTATAAATAACTCTTATAAAAAAGTTGGCTGTAAAGGAAAGAAAGAAGAGAAGGTGATAGGCCTGGAGGAGTGTTTCTGAATCTCAGCACTGTAGACATTTGGCCTACATCATTCTTTATTGTGGAAGGATGTCCTGTGCATTATAAAAAGTTGAACAACATCCCCGGCCTCTATCCACTAAATGCCTGTAACAACCGCCAACCCCCTTCCAGTTATGTAAAAAATGTCTCCAAACATAGCCTAATGTCCTCTTGGTGGGGCAGGGGGAACAATATTTCTCCCCAGTTGAGAACCAGTGTTTTAGAGAAATGATTGAACTTAAGATTTTGGAGGTGGTGATGACAAGAACATGGGTATGATCATGGGAGTTGGGTGGCTAAAGTGAAATGGAAAAAAGATCATTGAAAGTGGTAAATCCAGGATTGGAGAGGCCAGGCAGTGGCCTGGAAATGAAAATAATAAAAAAGGACTTACAGGTGGTATAGTCTGATGGCATGAACTACAAAAAACTAGATTTTTGACAGAGAAGAGAGGAAAACTGTAAAATGTTAGCTGGTGCAATTCTTGTACAAATTTATGAGAGACATAGTGATTTCACTTTTAGCAAGCTGGGAGAACAACTTCTATGAAAATATTCCTGAATTCATCTAGGCAATTCAAAGTGAAGTACAAAATATCTAGGTATTTGAGTATTATATTTAGCTTTCTTTTCTTTCTTTCCTTTTTCCCTCCTTCCTTCCTCCCTCTCTCCTTTCTTCCTTTCCTCCTTCCCTGCCTTCCTTCCTTCCTTCCTTTTTTCACTAGTTACCAACCAGATACTGTTGTGCCTAGCGGCATAAGACTACAAGCCTTCATTCATAGTGTCAGGAGGGAGGGCAGAGAATAGGGTTACAAATGCATACAGATTGGTAGATTAGGTGATGACAAAAGGAGTTCCTGCCTAATTACCAACATATAAAGTAAATTTGATCTGCCATTTAAATATATCTTATAATCCCTACTGCTTAATGACTATCTTGCATTATAGTGATCAGATTTTGCCCAAGAAGTAATTTTTTAATATCTGCTGTATTTTTGAAAGAAGATAGAATTATCTCTAAGTATAGCATTCAGCTTCAAATATTCTATAATTCTGTATGCAGAATCATATTATCTGAATATTGTAATTTTTTTTTTTAAGACTCAAGGACAAAAGAAAGTTACTAGCATGATGGAAAGTAAAGATGTCCACAAAGGAATATTTCAGATTGAGTGGGAACATAAGAAAATGGAGATGGAAATGGAAGATCTAAATCAGAAGGCTTGGGATATTCAGATGCTGTTTTTTTCAAGAGATCGTCAAAAGGTAAGGGTCCCCCTGCCACCCTATGTAGTTTTAAAAAAATTATTATTATTTTATTATGGTAAAATATATATGATAAAAATTTGCCATTTTAACCATTTTTAAGTGTACAATTCTGTGGCATTAATTACATTTACCATATTGTGCTACCTTCACCACTAAATATTTCCAAAAGGTTTTCATCCTCCCCAAACAGAAATTTAGTACCTCTTCACCTACAATTCTCATTCTGCTCTCCCCTAAGCCCCTGCTAACCACTAATATACTTTTGTCTCTGTGCATTTGCCTATTCTAGATATTTCATATAAGTGGGATCATACAGTGTTTGTCCTTTTGTGTCTAACTTACTTCACTCAGCATAATATTTTTAAGGTTCATCCGTGTAGTAGCATATGTCAAAACTTTATTTCTCCTTATGATGAATAAATTTCCATTGTCTGTATATACCTAAATGAATAATTTCTTTTGTAAGAATCAGCACAAAGCTGGTTCCTATGAGGTGGAGGTTAAAGATGTCCCAAATGTCCAACTTTTCCAAGCTGCTATACCACTCCATCATCTCTAACGTCAACTACTCCCTCTCCCCTCAGTACTCTCCCTCCCATCTTTGGGTTCCCAGATTCACTGCAATGCCTCACAGAACTCACGAACCATATAAAAGAAGTGGATCACACAGTTGTGGAGGCTGGCAAGTCCCAAATTCGTGGTTCAGGCCTAGGCTTCTCTTGACCCACGTGGCTGCAGGAGCTGACAAACCCAAACCAGCAGTTCAGACCACAGGCTGCTGGCTCACAAGGCTGCAGAAGGTGGCAAATTAGGTCACATGATAGGCCGCCAGCCCAAGGGGCTGTGGAGGCTGGTGAATTCCAGAATCGGCAGGTCAGACGGCAGGCATCTGTGGAGGTCAATTGATCACAAACCAGATGCCGGTTCCAGATGCAGAGAGAGAGCCTCGCCAGGACACACACATATATCTTAGATGCAAATCACACCCCAGGGAAGTGAGTAACTTTAGTAAGGGTGTGGCTTGAATCATGCCCTCCTGCAAGGCTGGGACCCAAGACACACCGTACACCAATCCTGCCTCATCAACATGTAGAGGTCAGGAGCCACAGCACATAAAATGAAGGACAACCACACAATAGTGGGAATCGTGGCCTAGCCAAGTTGACACATAACCCCAAACATCACAGGTTCCATATACTTTATCTGCATAGTCCCACCAATCATTGTGTGTGAGTCACAAAGACCATGGCTAGAAGGGCTGTATTAAGTAATTCTTTGCACTGCAATACCATATTTGGTTTATCCATCCATCCATCTGTTGATGGACACTTGGGTTGTCCTATATAGTTTTAATTTCATTTATTTAAACCATACTTATTAAGAAGCCTCTGTGATGCCAAGCATATTCTAGGCCAGTAAGATTTCATAATGTATCTGTGCGTTCTTTTTCTTCCAGGAGTTTGCATTTGTTGCCTCCAGTTTTTCATAACTCATTTAGTAGTAAAGTTCTACCTTGCAGTTAACAAGGACTTCCTAATGGTGAAATCCATTGGTCTCTTTCCAGTCATCACCATCCTCCACTGTCTGTAGAATCTGACCGTCTATTTACGCATTTCTTTGGCTTTTATCAATTCTGTTTTCTCCTGTTTTTCTTCCAACATGTCAGACCACTCTGCCTGTTTTACTGGTTTCTCTTTTGCCTCTAACCCTTAAATATAATCATTCTTTAAGAGTCTGTCCTTAACTTTGTGTTTCTTTTCATGCCCTCTTCTTTGATGATCTCTATTTCTCTGAGTTCAGTGATCTCTTCTAAAAAATTAACTCTCCACCCATGACCTCTCTCATGTTTCATGTCTATATTCCCCACAGCAGCTCCTCTTCTTGATTTACTTATTTCTGTTCTTTACAGCCACTCGCCCAGCCATAAAGTTTTAGTCATTGTTGAGTCCCCTTTTTCCCTTGCCTTCCAAGTCTTGCCTTGTCTATTTATTCCTCATTCTGTATCCCTACTGCCTTTACCCAGGTTCAGTCTTCCATTTTTAATGGTTTCAACTTTTTTATAAATAATATCCAAACTGATTTTTCAACGTTGAGTCTTTCTCTTATCTAAGCTACACTATATGTTGCTCTCAGACTAATATTCCTATCCAGCTCTAATATTACTACTCTACTTAAAAAATTTTAAACTGCTACTTCTTACCTGACAAATGAATTATGAAATCCTTAGGTGGGCATTCAACCTAACTTTTCCAAGTCATTCCCCACTATTCCTGTCATACATCAGTATTCTCAAACCAAACTGATTACTGTTTTCTAGGGTTCTACCTCTGTGTCTTTGCTCATACTGGTTCTTCTACCTGGAATATCTTTCCTCATTTTTTTTTCCCCCAGCCGAAGCCTGTATTTTTTAAGGTTTAGTTTAAATGTCATCTTCTCCATAAAGACTTTCCTGATTTCCCCAGCCTGGAAAACTCACATTCCATCACAAATCGTTTTTGAATTTGTATGGCACTTCCATATCTTCTGCCATCTAATCATGTCTACACATGCTCTCTCTCCTTTTTGAAGGCTAGATCATGTTATCTGTCTTTGTATCTCCCTCAGTGTCTTTGTACTCAAGAGGGATACTTAATATATGTTTGGTGAGCTGAATAAGTGAATGCATGAGTGAATGAGAAAATAAACTCTAGTAATCATTAAAATATAAGTGAGTGTATCTATGGTTAAATACAAGTAAATATTATGGCACAAAAGTCAAGTCAATCTTATATAGAAATACATTTATTATGAAAAACTCTTTTAAAACTAAGACGATCTATATAAAGTTATCTATTAAAAGAAATAGAAAAAAAAATCCTTACATATATTGTTTTTTCTCCCAAAGTTCCTAAATGAACCGCACTATGAGACTCTGATAGGTATTCAGATTGGAATAATGGAGCAAACTATTGCTGTTTTAGATAAGGTAAATCTCCAAGATATTGATCATTATAATCCCAACAGCTGTGAATCATTTGAGCAAAGTAATAATGTTTCAAGTCATTAATCAAACAGAACCTAACAAAATCTTGGTCTTTTACTGATATTCAGGATGTAATTAGAGGTTCTTGAATAGTGTCTTTGCAACCACAGCAAGTGGTATAGACCGAAGCACTTCCTTTAATATTAGAAATTAACCCCTTGGGAGATAATCCAAGTATAAGTAGATGTTTATTTCACATTATGATTTATGTAATAGAAGTTTTAATAGTCTTTTCTTGGCATTATTGGCTTTGTTTTATCATAACTTCTTAATAAATGCTCAGTTTTGATTGTATAGCATATGCAAGATGGAAACAAAGTAATCCCAAGGCCATGTTTGATCATCTATCATTTTTAAGGGTAGGCAAGGTTTTGTTTTTGTTTTTTTCCCTCTAAAATGAGGTATTAACATACATTCTATCTTTCAATAAATAATCTTAGTACCTACTATGTGCAGGCATTATGCCAGGTACTAAGGATATGGTGGTAAGGTGATATTTTAATGATGATGATTCATTTAAATTTTAAGAATAATGTCTTTATAAAATATAATACATTTTTTCTGAAATTACTTTTGTGGGATGTCATGGGAACAAAAATTCCAGACCCACAAGAAGAATGTGGAAAACTGCAAAAAACTACTCAAAAAACTGGAAAGGTTCAGCAATCGCAAAGATGTAGCAAATTATACTCTAAGCTGCAATTTACGAGACGAGTTGGTGGCTGTCTCAGAGAGAAGAGACATCTGTAATGCAATTGGTAAGCATTTTTTTTAATTGACTATAGGTTCTTTAAAAGTAACCAGTATTCCTGAAATCTGTAGTTATACAGCTATCAGCATTCCTCACGATTTCTGCAAGTTTTAACTGATCCACTTAAGTTCACTAAGTATTGCTTCTGTATTTGAAGATAGAGATAAAAATCCAATTTCTTTCTTTTTCATTTTTGGGACAGGATCTAAACTAACTTGTGAAAAGATTGCCAAAGAACAATATGAAAACATGATGCAACAACAAAAATTAACAAATATTTCAAAACAACAAGCTGAACAGATTTCAATTCTGCAGGCTGAAGTTGAAAGATTAAGGATGAGAACATTTCCTGCTCTTGTTCAAATGTAAAAATGCTGGCCAAATCATCATCTTAAAAATCATTTCATTTGGTTAAAATGTTGTTTTTTTCTTTTGTATCAGGAAATTTAAGTAGATTCTCCTCTTAGCTGCATATTTTTAATAGCAAATTATTTAATTTTAGCCTTAATCATTATAAAATTTTTGTCCTGCATGATACATGTGAGAAATATGAATTCTTGTTTTTTTATTCAAGAATGAACAAGATTTTAACTCAAAAAGTATTCAAGATCTAGTTTATTCATTTAGTCTTAATTTGATCAAAGATATTTTCAGTTATAGTATACAAAAAATTATTCTTAACCATAACTACCATTTCAAATTTTGTAAAATTACCAGAAAAAATATGAGATTATAGATTATTTTTAATCTTTATACTTTTCTGTTATTTCCCAAGTTTTCTTCAGTAAGCATTGCTTCTATAATCAGAAAAAAATTACCAGAACATTTAAGATTATTATTCTGTTTTACCAATTGAGAAGAAGGTATATTACTTTCACCAAGCCTTAAATCATTTATAAATTACCATGTATTTTGAAAACATGCTTTTCTACATCTCATATATATTGTAAAAGAACTCAATTTTGTGAGTTATCCAATAAGCTTTGTTATTGTTGTTAGGTGCCCGTGAGTTGGTTCCATCTCATAGCGACCCTATATACAACAGAACGAAACACTGCCCAGTTCTGTGCCATCCTCACAATCATTGCTATGTTTGAGCCTATCGTTGCAGCCATGTGTCAATGCATCTCGTCAAAGGTCTTCCCCCTTTTCACCTACCCTCTACCCATCTACCTGATGTCCTTCTCCAGGGACTTGTCCCTCCTGGTAACATGTCCAAAGTACATGAGACAGAGTTTCCCTGTCTTAGGCTGGGTTCTCTAGAGAAGCAAAACCAGTAAAGTGTATAAATAGCTACATAGAGAGATTTATATCAAGGAAATGGCTCATGTGACTGTAGAGGATGGAACATCCCAAGTCCGTGGGTCAGGCTGGAGGCTTCTCCTTATTCATGTAGCCACAGGGGCTGGTGAACCTAAGATTGGCAGATCAGACAGCAGGGCTCTTGCTCACAAGCTGTGAAGACCGAAGAATCCCAAGATCAGCAGGCAAGATGGCAGGTAAGCTAGAAGCTCAAGTCCCAAGAACCAGATGTCAGATGAACAGGAGCCAGCTGCAGAATCCAGAGCGAGCAAAAGCCTTCAAACCTTGCCAGAAAGTCTACCTATATTGGATGCAGGCCACACCCCCAAAGAATCTCCCTTTAGCTGATTGGCTACTCACAGCAGATCCCATCATGGAGGTGATCACATTGTATCAGATCTCATCACGGAAATGATCATATCATCATACGACTGCCAAACTACATCATAACTGCCAACCTTAACGATCACACTCGCCCTCCTTCCTTCCAAGGAGCACTCTGGCTGCACTTCTTCCCAGACAGATTTGTTCATTCTTCTGGCAGTCCATGGTATATTCAATATTCTTCACCAATGCCATAATTCAAAGGCGTCAATTCTTCTTCAGTGTTCCTTATTTTGTCCAGCTTTCACATGCATATGAGGGTATTGAAAATATCATGGCTTGAGTCAGGTGTACCTTAGTCCTCAAAATGACATCTTTGCTTTTCAACACTTTAAAGAGGACTTTAGCAGCATATTTACCCAGTGCAATACGTTGTTTGATTTCTTGACTGCTGCTTCCATGGACGTTGATTGTGGATCCAAGTAAAATGAAATCCTTGACAACTTCAATCTTTTCTCCATTTATCATGATGTTGTTTATTGTGAGGATTTTTGTTTTCTTTCTGGTATTGTTTTCTGGTATTCTCTGCTTTCAGCCAAGATCCATTTGACATCAGCAGTGATATCCCTCGTTCCACATCCTCTTCTGGCAACCTGGCTTGAATTTCTGGCAGTTCCATGTTGATGTACTGCTGCAATCATTTTTGAATTATCTTCAGCAAAATTTTACTTGTGTGTGATATTAATGACTTTGTTCGATAATTTACATTCTGTTAGATCAGTTTTCTTTGGAATGGGCACAAATATGGATCTCTTCCAGTCGGTTAGCCAGGTAGCTGTCTTCCAAATTTCTTGGCATAGACGAGTAAGCACCTACAGCACTGCATCCACTTGTCGAAACATCTCAATTGGTATTCCAACAATTCCTGGAGACTTGTTTTTTGCCAGTACCTTCAGTGCAGCTGGACTTTTTCCTTCATTACCATCATTTCTTGATCATATACTGCCTCCTGAAATGTTGAACATCAGCCAACTCTTTTTTTTGGTTCAGTGACTCTGTGTATTCCTCCATCTTCTTTTGATGCTTCCTGCATTGTTCAATATTTTGCTCATAGAATCCTTCAATATTGCAACTAGAGGCTTAAATTTTTCCTTCAGTTCTTTCAGCTTGAGAAATGCCGAGCATGTTCTTCTCTTTTGGTTTTCTAATCCAGGTCTTTGTACATCTCATTATACTCTGTCTTCTCAAGCTACCCTTTGCAATCTTCTGTTCAGCTCTTCACTTCATCATTTCTTCCATTTGCTTTAGCTACTCTAGGTTCAAGAACAAGTTTCAGAGTCTCTTCTGACATCCATTTTGGTCTTTTTCCTGTCTTTTTAATGACACTTTGCTTTCTTCATATACAATGCCTTTGATACCATCCCACAACTCATCGGTCTTCAGTCATTAGTGTTTAATGCATCAAATCTATCCATGAGATGGTCTCTAAATTCAAGTGGGATACACTCAAGGTTGTACTTTGGCTGTTATGGACATGTTTTAATTTTCTTCAGCTTCAATTTGAACTTGCATATAAGCAATCGATGTTCTCTTCCACGGTCAGCCCCTGTTCTTGTTCTGACTGATGATATTGAGCTTCTTGATCACAGATGTAGTGGATTTGATTCCTGTATTTTCCAATCAGTGAGGCCCACGTGCATAGTTGCAGTTTATGTTGTTGAAAAAAGGTATTTGCAATGAATAAGTATTGGTCTTGCAAAATTCTATCATGTGATCTCCAGCGTCATTTCTATCACCAAGGCCATATTTTCCAACTGCCAGTCCTTCTTCTCTGTTTCCAACTTTTGCATTCCAATCACCAGTAATTATCCATGCATCTTTTTTTTTTTCAGTTGTATTTCAGGTGAAGGCTTACAGAACAAATAGTTTCTCATGAAACAGTAGTACACATATTGTTTTATGACATTGGTTAACAACCCCACGACATGTCAACCCTCTCCCTTCTCGACCATTTTTTTTTTTTTTTGGTGAAAATATACGTAGCCAAAGATACACCATTTCAAAAATCTCTACATGTACAGTTCAGTGACATCGACTATGCTCTTCCAATTGTGCTGCTATTCTTACTTTAGATGAAGGCTTACAGAACAAAATAGTTTCTCATTTAACAGTTAGTACACATGTTGCCCTGTAACAATGGATAACAACCTCACAACACATCAACACTATCCTTACTCAACCTTGGGTTCCCTATCACCAGCTTTCCTGTCCCCTTCTGCCTTCTGGCCCTTGTCCCTGGACTGCTGTGCCTCATTAGTCCCATTTGGTTTTATGGGGCTGTCCACTCCCTGGCTGAACGGTGAACCTCAGAAATGATTTCACCACTGAGCTAAAAGGTGTCTGGGGGCCATACTCTCGGGGGTTCTTCCAGTCTCCTTTAGGCCAGTAAATCTGGCCTTTTCTTTTTTCTTTTTCTTTTTTTTTTGAGTTAGAATTTTGTTCTACATCCTTCTCCAGCTCTGTCCAGAACCCTCTGTTGTGATCCTGGTCAGAGCAGTCGGTGGTGGTAGCCGGGCACCATCTAGCTGTATTGGACTCAGTCTGGCGGAGGCCTTGGTAGCTGTGGTCCATTAGTCCTTTGGACTAATCATATCCATGCATCTTGATTCCAGGTTTGATCAATTTCAGACTGCAAACTTCAGTAAAAATCTTTAATTTCCTCATCTTTGGCATTAGTGGTTGGTGCATAAATTTGAATAATAATTGTATTAACTGGTCTTCCTTGTAGGCTTATGTATATTATCCTATCACTGACAGCATCGTATGTCAGGATAGATCTTGAAATGTTCTTTTTGATGATGAATGCAACACCATTTCTCTTCAATTTGTCATCCTCGCATAGTAGACCATATGATTGTATGGTTCCTAATGGCCAATACCAGTCCATTTCAGCTTACTAATGCCTAAGATATAGATCTTTATGTGTTCCATTTCTTTTTTGATGAGTTCCAGTTTTTCTATAGTCATACTTCGTACATTCTACGTTCTGATTATTAATGGACGTTTGCAGCTGTTTCTTTTCATTTGGAGTCATGCCACATTAGCAAATGAAGGTCCTGAAAGCTTTACTCTATCTGCATCATTAAGGTCAACTCTACTTTGAGGAAGCAGCTTTTCCCCACCCAGTTGTATTTTGAGTGCCTTTGACCTGCGGGGGGCGGGGGAGCTCATCTTCTGACACTATATCAGACAATGTTCCACTGCTATTCATAATGTTTTCACTGGCCAATTTTTTCAGAAATAGACTGCCACGTCCTTCTTCCTAGTCTGTCTTAGTCTGGAAGCTCTGCTAAAGTCTGTCCACCATGGGTGACCCTGCTGGTACTTGAAATACCATTGGCATAGCTTCCAGCATCACAGCAACACGCAGACCACCACAGCACAACAAACTGACAGATGTGTGGTGGCAGTTAGCTTTAGTAAACAGGAAAAAAAAAGTGCTTTCTCTTTCATGAAAGTGTATTGCTTTATTCATGTAGATGATGATAGTTATATAATGAGCAGAAACTTGTTAGAAGATAAACTGCTTCACCCTTTCCATAGCCTGTGGACTGTTACATTCCAAGATGGTATCATTGAGATCACTGACCACAATCTCCAAGTGATGTCTGTGTCTCACTGTTCTGCAATTTATGAACTAAATGTTAAATTTAATCCACAGCTCCATATCCAGTATACACTGGTGAAGGTAAAGCAAGACAGTATTATGAAATCTTCTGTTTAGAATATTTTGGGTGTGTTTTTTTTTTTTGGCCAGGATAGTACCTTAATGGTTTACTCATAATGTGATCAGTATTAGGTGAGGATGGTGGGTGGTAATGGAAATGATAGGACCAACATCATTTTGGTGACAACTTTCCTTACTACTACAATGACTTAAGTAGTCAGTTTGGCTGATTAAGCAGGAAAATATCCATTGGTGGCATTTCCTTTGTCCACACATCTTCAAAATTATCCCTGAGAGAGAGATTATGGTGGGCAGAGGACCATTCTGTAGGGTGGAGGAGTGTGTAAGGGGTGCAAATACTTTATACTTAAGAGGTCTGTACTGTATTGGTTTGAGTCAACCACAGGTGTAACCAGCTTGATTTTTTTCCCCCTGGTGATATAAATGAGACTTGTAGTGCAGTGGTTAAAGTGGTCAGCTGCTAACCAAAAGGTTGGCAATTGGAACCCACCAACCGCTCTGCAAGAGAAAGATGTGACAGTCTGCTTCCGTAAAGATTTATAGTCTTGAAAACCCTATAGAGTCACGGGGTGATGGGGTGATAGCCACATCTGCCTCCTGCCCTCAGGCCCTGGGGGTTTGGGAGACTTGGGCTGACCAGCCACCAACCTTGCCTACCATCTAAGGGAGCGAGGGCAGAGGGAAAGCACAGGGCTGGGAGTCTGGGTCTGGGCAAGGCCCTTCCCCTCTGCACCTCAGAGCTCCTTCTGCACCTTGAGAAGGACAAGCTCAGTTGCAGGATGCTGTATACTCAGACTGCATGCTCCCTCACCCTAGACAGGCCTCCCCCAGGCTCCCACTTCTCTTATCCTGGGCTGGTGGTGAGCAGTGAGCTGGAGTAGGGAGAAGGGCATCCTTTCAGGTGTCTCGTGCTCATACCCAGCCCCCAAGGCCCCCAACCTGTGGTGGTTTCCAGCGGGCCCTATACCCTGCCCCCCGCCCCAAATCCCAGGTCTTGGTCTGAACAGCGCTTGTTGGGAGCATCCCCAGGGACTTAAGGGAGGGGTGCCCACAACCCTGGGCAGCCACCCTTTGCCCAAGGGAGCAGTTCCCTAGACTTCTCAGATACCACCAAGATGCTCAGTCTACCTTACAGACAGAAAAGGCTTCTAGAAGGGAACTAATCTCCCTGAAGGTCTTGGCCTAGCCACTGGGAGGTAGTGTGGAGTAGTGGTCCAGAGAGCTGCCAGGGCAAAGATCCTGGCTAGACCACATTTGGCCCTGAGGCTTGGGACACAACTTCTTCCTCTGTAAAATGAGGATGAGGACAATAAGTACCTCGTGGAAATCTGTAAGGAGTGAATGAGATATTGTACATGAGCTTGGCACATAGTAAGAATTCCATAGTTATTTTCAGATCTTGGGAGAGAAACCAATTCAGTGGTAGTGGGTTTGGTTTTGGGGTTTTGGATGGTGATATAAATTCCTTATCTCCTAAGTTAGCCACCTGGGGGCTCCATTTACTAATAGCCAATGCCACAAATTTCACTGGGTAATGCTCTGCAGATTCCCAGATTTTAACAAACCAAATAGCCTGAGCGATTGCTGTTTCTTAGTGGCCACCCTGGATGACTCTGGAAACCCTCCTTGCTGTGAGACACGGATAGAGTGGGGGTTAGCAGAAGCCTCTTGCCCACAAGCTGTATTCCAGTAGCAGCACTCTTTTCATCAGGAGGTACTTCTGGTTTGGGGAGTTGGTGCTTTGGAAAGGCACAGGGGTCCTGTACTCCAACTCATTTGATACAGTTCATGGTACTGACTTCTCTCAGCTTCTGCTGAACTAACAATTAACATTCATATTTTTATTTAAAAAAATTAGCAATTACATTCATATTTAAAAAAAAAAACAAAACCATTGCCATCAAGTCAGTTCCAACTCACAGCAACCCTATAGATTTTTATAGCTCTTTAAAATTGGGGTGTTGATCAGTATGATACTCAAATAATGTATTTTTAAAAATGGCACAAAGCAAGTGCAATGTTAAGTGTTTGCTCTTATTTTTATTAATAAAAAATGTGGTATTCAGTGATTTTCACTAAGTGTATCCCATTAAACGGAGGTGAAATACAACAGAAATGGTAAAAAGGGGGACCGGCCCCTATGGAGAGATCCCAAACTCTCCCGTAAGTCTCATTCATCTCCCATGACCCACCTCCTGTTGTGGGAGTGCCCTCTGTGCTGTTGGAGCCCTCGGCACCATCCAATGCCTTTGAAATCCCCATTACCATGCACCATCTGCTCTGCCCAGCTTTTCCAGAACCTGAGTTCCACTGAGATGCTATAGTTCCCACAAGTGGACATGTGAGGGTGACTCTGGGAAGCACCAGTCTGCAGCAGGCAGCTGCAGCCTCTGAGGTCTAGATGGCTACCACACATTTGCCCACCAGGATGCCAGCATGACCGACCTCGAGGGGCACCACTTCCCCTGCCACATTTAGGCTCTCTGGCTGAGGAAAAAGCTGTGATAGAGGCTGGCTGGTAGGCACTAAAGTTGCACTTCCCCAGGAGTACCCACCTAGGACATCCTAGGGCCAGGGAAAAGTCCCCTGTGAGGCCTAGGCCAGTCTTCTTGGGTTCACAGGAGAAGCCAATGACCATGACAGTGTCTAGAAGGCAGGGATTTGGAGAGGGGAAGTGTATTGGCATGGTCGCTATATTAGGGTTCTCCAGAGAAACAGAACCAACAGGAGATACACACACACAAACATATATAAAAGATTTATTTTAAGGAATTTGGCTTACATGATTGTAAGGGCTGGCAAGTCTGAAATCTGTAGAGGAAGTCAGTAGGCTGGAAACTCAGGCAGGTGGTGCTGCACTCTTGAGGCATAATTTCTTCTTTGGGAAACCTTAGTTTTTGGTCTTTAAGGCTTCCAACTGATTGGAAGAACCACTCACATTATTGAGGGTAATATCCTTCACTTAAAAATCAACTGATTGTACATGTTAACCACATCTACAAAATACCTTCACAGTAATACCTAGATTAGTGTTGAATATTAATATCAAATATAGTACTATAGTCTAGCCAAGTTGACACATAAAACTAACCATTACAGGCACTGACAATTAGAATGGATGCAATGGGGTCCTAAGGTCCCTGTGCCATAGGGTGGGGAGGTGTTAGATGGCGGGGGCGGGGGCAGGGGTGGATTAGGCTGAAACAGGAGTGTACTTGTTGTGGGGAGGTCCTCAGGGTAATGGCTATTTACCAACTAGTAGGGAAGTACTTTTCCTTCCTTCAGAAGTACTTTTTTCCCCCCTGAAGTAAATAAAGCTGTTTTAGCGCTTAAAAGAACCCAAAAGCAGAAATTCAGAAAGACCTCAAAAAGGATTGTAAACTAGGACTAAGAAGCCACTAATCCAGAACGTTCTATCTCCGTTCATCATCTCTTTTTCTGAAGCGCACATATTATCCTTGAGATACCAGCTTTGCTGCTCCCAAGTTTACATGTAACAGTTTCATCCGCACAGAGATGGGCTTTCTTTTCCTGAGCTCAATTCCAAATTCGTATCTCCATATATGGCCAGGATAATACTTAACACTGTACAAAATGGTGGCCAGAAACCCAGGCCTGTGGATGGGGGTGTTTCTGGCTAAGGAGTCACTGTGAACTGAATAGACACTCTAAGTGTAATATATTTCACAGCCAAAGCTAGAAAGGTAGATGAAAGCTTGTATATCATGATGCCTTGATGTGGAAGGTGATTCATGGTTTTTGTAAGAAACGGATGGTCATTTCACTAAATGAGACGAATACAAGAAACAGAGAGACAGGGAAGAATATAATTTTGGACATATGACCTTAATTATCTGCTAGACTATACAGATGGAATATGTGGTAAATGGATGGAAACAAGGGTCATAAACTGAAGAAAGGGGAAGGATTTTTAGAACAGCATTGTTAGACGTTTAGGTTTAAATTGGACCAAATTGGACCATTTTTTAACATTTAAAATAAAACTTTTTTGCTACAATAAACAATTTATTAAAATGGTTTCCAGAAACTGCCCAAATTATTTTTTAAACATAATTTAAGGGTTTTTGTTTTCACATGTCTTCCAATGTCTAGTTTTCTTTGGGAAATTTATACAAAATATTAAATTTATATTTTAGAACTCAGTTTATATTTATGTAACAGAGTGCCCTAAACTGACAGTTCATCAGGATACCTTTTGTTAACCCCTAATGGTTTATACCTTCCCTGTAAAATATATAAGCATCTGGTAATTAAGGTGTCATTCTCAACGACAATTCTGGAAAAAAAAATTATGAATTAAACACCTATAAATTCTTCTTCACTCCTGTTATAGTGTAGCAATTTATCATCTAACCCATAGTGGTCTATCAACTCAGTAAGGCTTAGTTTCTTGTTCTCCTCAGACATAGCCGACTGCAACTCATAAAGCAACAGCTGGCTACAGTTTCTCCACTTCTTTATTAGCAACTGTAGCTGAGACAGGTCATTCTGAAACAGAAGGAAAAAAAATTTATATATATATATCCACCAGTCACTTCTTGGAAACCCTATAGGGCAGTTCTACTCTGTCCTATAGTCACTATGAGTTGGAATTGACCTGAAGGCAACAGATTTGGTGTGTGTGTGTATACACATACACATACACACACACACACACACACACACACACACACACACACGTATGGCAGTAACTCGGTAGTCATGCTATTTTCACTTAACAAAAGTTGCTAAATCAGTTGGTGTGTGTGTTTAAAAACTAACGCATCTGGGGATGAATAGGACTTCTACCCACAAAAAAGTAGGACGGTTTTAAGTAGGGTGGTTACAATGTCCCTTTAAGTTCTATCACTGTTGTTCTGTCAACGCTCTGGGCGATCTTTACCCACATGGAAAAATCAAATCATTAAATAGGACAAAACCTATGTAGTGAAGCAACAATATAGGGTAAAAAAATCCACTTTTCAGATTACAGCTGTACTTTAAAATATGACAATATTCAATTTAAAATATTTCGACATTCAAAACCTTAAAAAACTCAAGTAGTCCTGTTTAGAAAAAGCCTAAAAGTTCAAGAGAGCAAATGAAATATGCTAATCCATCATTTACTCCACACTGCTGGGAAAGAATGAGCTATTGCATATACATGAATTGTCCAGGAAATTATCCTTCCTAGTACCCAAGTTCTATTTAATTCAACTTATCCAAACTGAAATGTAAAATCTAATACACATTTGTTTTTTCAAACAGAAAGCCTGGAACATTTTAATTATTTGGGGGAAACATAAGATCATTACTAAAAATACTTTTTATTGCACTCTGTGGGCCCCTTTTAGCTTTTTTACTCATTCACTGTTAGCTGTCACTTCTGTCCCTTTGGTACTTAATCTAACATTTGATACTTCTAATATTGCTAAAGGCTGGAAACTAGAGAAAAAAGCTTCAACTGAATATTAAATAAGATCAATTTTAGCTGGGACTTTGCGAAAGTTCTATCTGGTATTTAGAGGTCTCTTCTACTCTTCTCCAAATCTCTGACTATATTTGAGTTCAAGTTATTTGAAGCCAGATTTCTGGACACTTGGCTTATTGTTTAGTAAACTAAAATAAACTTTCCTATTCTTGAAATTACTTCCCTGTAATTTATCTTAAAATAAACAAATTTTATGCAATAGTTCTGAAATTCTTCTCACCTTTGATCTATACATTTTGACTAGTTTTAGCCTCCGGAGAAAGTCTTCTTTCTCCTGAACCTGCTTCACCAATTTTGCTTTTTCTTCCTTTAATCCTTGTATGGGAAGATTCTCATTGACAAAATCATTTTGGAGAGCATTGCATGACCCAATATCAAGTGATTTAGATTCACATACACTGATATTCTTGAAGGTGTTTTTCAAATATGTACTTTCTTCAAAGTCACTGTCTATGTGTTTAAAACTTTCTTGAAATTCCAAACGGTTTTCTTCTGTTGAAGATACTGGTTTCTCTGAAAAAATCTGATCACTTTCTTCATTCTCTACTTTAAGACGTTTTGCCACACTATAACAGGAATTAAATGATGATCTTGTTTTCCTTAATCGTTCTCTAAGTGTTGCGCTCATAGGCTGAAAAAGGCACAAAACATTTAAACCATTAAGCGAGAGAAACATTCTTGATGTGTAAATCTACTAGGAATAAAGACCTTACATTTCTATGATTGTTGTGTGCCGTGGAGTCGATTCCGACTCAGTGATCCTACAGGACAGAGTAAAACTGCCTCATAGGGTTTCCAAGGCTGTAAACCTTTTCGAAAGCAAACTGCCACATCTTTCTCCCACAGAGTGGCTAGAGGGTTTGAACCTCCAACCTCACAATTAGCAGCCGAGTGCTTAACCACTGTGCCACAAGGGCTCCTTTTCTATGGCAGGCACCACTAAATGACTTTCTGTCTCCATATACCTATAAGTAACCAACACAAAAAGGCTTAAATCCCCCAGATGATCCATTAGTTTTACTCTTCTTACTTTAGCAAGATCAATATCTTTCTAAAATGTTGAGACACTTATCCTAGTAATCACAAACATTTGTTGACCAACATGCCTAACACTATTCTAGGTGCTTCAGAGTTAAAAATTAAGAAAAAGATCTAGATCCTGCCACCAACAACCTTATAAATGATTACACTGCACATATTTAAACTTCCTCAATCTGGAGTATTCTGATAATCTGATACCAAAAAAAGCTAAACCTATTGCCATCAAGTCAATTCCAACTCATAGCAACCCTATAGGACAAAGAAGAACTGCCCCATAGGTTTCCAAGGCTGTAAATCTTTACAGAAGCAGACTGCCACATCTTTCTCCTGTGGTAGGTTCGAACCGCCAACCCTCTGATTAGCAGCCAAGCACTTTAACCACCAGGGCTCCTGATAACCTGATAGGAAAATAATTTATTCAAGATGAAAATTTTGGGGGGGAAAAAGGTCAAATATGTTATCTTAGAAGAAACACCTAAAATTATTCAGTATTTAATAAATACATTTTCTATTAATATTACACGTTGTTAATTAACAATCTTCAGTAGACTTAAAGCTACCACTGCCACAATACTTAGAAACATAGACTGGATCCACCAGAAGACCTAAGATTTTCGTACTTGTTTTCTTGAACTATTTGTATGGGGAGATGGTGGAATCTCACAGGCCTGTGGAGTGCTAGGTAAAATCACAGCTGAGTTTGATGGACTTTCCATCTTGAAAATGAAATCTTCATTTATCTCTAAAAAAGAAAGATAATCACAAAATTAAAATTAAATTTATCTATTCCTCAATTTTTAATCAAAGAATTTTTGGTTTGTTTTATACAACATCTGTAAGTAAGCCAGCAATTTCCTCTAACTTCACTTAGTTGTGATTAGTTCTTGCTCTTTTTGCAGTTTTATTTTCGTTTTACCTTCCCACACATAACCGGCTAGTATCTCATTTGAACAAGACTATTTGTTTTTATCTATCACAATAGCTTCAAAATCTGCCACATGGGGCAAAAACAACAACTTTGAATAGTCAAGAATTCTTTAATTTGGTTATGATGGCTCCATAATGAAAGGAAATATACCTGAAATCTCGACTCAAAAAATATAATCAGACCTGACACACTAACCTCAACCTTAAAAGGTGGTGACTAGAATCAGTGATCCTCCAGAACTGCGGCATAAGGAGCACAAGCGGAGATAAATTTACGCAAGTCTGCAGTTTTCGTTTGAATAGCAAATAGACCCTGAAAAGGAGAATCCCCGATGGAAGTTTGTTTCTCAAACAAAGGCAACAACTTTATCAGGATCAAACTAGGAGTCCTCCCTTCCTTCCCACCATTGCAGAAAACCCACACTAGCCCTCGAGGGACCCCAATCCTGAGGTGAAGTTGAAAAGATCCCCAACCGCGGAAAGCGAGCTCATATCGACTCCACAGCAGACCCCCGACTAAGGTCATCTCTCAGACAATCACTTGCCGCCTAGCAAGCTACCTCCCTCCGCCATCCCCGGACTGTGCAGAAAGCGCGCGCAACCGCAGCCGTAAACCGCCCGAGTTTCAGCGACAGGGCCGCGCGGGGGCCGGGAGAGACGCGCGATTGGCCAGATTGACAGGGGCGCTCGGTTCCGCTTGGCCCAGCGCCCGAGAGAGCCGGTACTACGTGCACGCGACCCCGAGGCTATGCAAGGGGGGCG